CCAGTTTCATATCACCACTGCAAACTGTGCAAGGCACCCAAGTCAGATAATCTTACAGATTACTTACTATGTTACATAAAAACTGCATCCTATCAAACTAATAGTACTGTCCAGAGATTAGCACTTGTTGATTACATTAACCTAATTTTAGACACTGGTCTTGTCCTTGACCCCCTCCCCCTTCTCCCCTTTTCTTTCTCCCCCTTCCCCTTCACCCCTTTTCTCTCCCCCCTCCCCCTTCACCCCTTTTTTCTCCCCCCTCCCCCTTCACCCCTTTTCTTTCTCCCCCTCCCCCTTCTCCCTTTTCTTTCTCCCCCTCCCCCTTCTCCCTTTTCTTTCTCCCCCCTCCCCTTCACCCCTTTTCTTTCCCCCCCCTCCCCCTTCACCCCTTTTCTTTCTCCCCCTTCTCCCTTTTCTTTCTTCCCCCCTTCCCCTTCTCCCTTTTCTTTCTTCCCCCCTTCCCCTTCTCCCTTTTCTTTCTTCCCCCCTTCCCCTTCTCCCTTTTCTTTCTCCCCCCTCCCCTTTCTCCCTTTTCTTTCTTCCCCCTCCACTTTCTCCCTTTTCTTTCTTCCCCCTCCCCCTTTCTCCCTTTTCTTTCTTCCCCCTCCCCCTTTCTCCCTTTTCTTTCTTCCCCCTCCCCTTTCTCCCTTTTCTCTCCCCCTACCCTCCCCCTCCTCCCTTTTCTTTCTCCCCCTACCCTCCCCCTCCTCCCTTTTCTTTCTCCCCCTACCCTCCCCCTCCTCCCTTTTCTTTCTCCCCCTACCCTCCCCCTTCTCCCTGTTCTTTCTCCCCCCTCCCCCTTCACCCCTTTTCTTTCTCCCCCCTCCCCCTTCACTGCTTTTCTTCCTCCCCCCTCCCCCTTCACTGCTTTTCTTTCTCCCCCCTCCCCCTTCACTGCTTTTCTTTCTCCCCCCTCCCCCTTCTCCCTTTTCTTTCTCCCCCCCTCCCCCTTCTCCCTTTTCTTTCTTCCCCCCTCCCTCTCCCTTTTCTTTCTCCCCCCCTCCCCCTTCTCCCTTTTCTTTCTCCCCCCTCCCCCTTCTCTCTTTTCTTTCTCCCCCCTCCCCCTCCTCTCTTTTCTTTCTCCCCCCTCCCCTTCCTCTCTTTTCTTTCTCCCCCCTCTCCCTCCTCCCTTTTCTTTCTTCCCCCCTCCCCCTTCTCCCTTTTCTTTCTTCCCCCTCCCCCTTCTCTCTTTTCTTTCTCCCCCCTCCCCCTTCTCCCTTTTCTTTCTCCCCCTCCCCCTTCTCCCTTTTCTTTCTCCCCCCTCCCCTTCACCCCTTTTCTTTCCCCCCCCTCCCCCTTCACCCCTTTTCTTTCTCCCCCTTCTCCCTTTTCTTTCTTCCCCCCTTCCCCTTCTCCCTTTTCTTTCTTCCCCCCTCCCCCTTCTCCCTTTTCTTTCTCCCCCCTCCCCTTTCTCCCTTTTCTTTCTTCCCCCTCCACTTTCTCCCTTTCTTTCTTCCCCCTCCCCCTTTCTCCCTTTTCTTTCTTCCCCCTCCCCCTTTCTCCCTTTTCTTTCTTCCCCCTCCCCTTTCTCCCTTTTCTCTCCCCCTACCCTCCCCCTCCTCCCTTTTCTTTCTCCCCCTACCCTCCCCCTCCTCCCTTTTCTTTCTCCCCCTACCCTCCCCCTCCTCCCTTTTCTTTCTCCCCCTACCCTCCCCCTTCTCCCTGTTCTTTCTCCCCCCTCCCCCTTCACCCCTTTTCTTTCTCCCCCCTCCCCCTTCACTGCTTTTCTTCCTCCCCCCTCCCCCTTCACTGCTTTTCTTTCTCCCCCCTCCCCCTTCACTGCTTTTCTTTCTCCCCCCTCCCCCTTCTCCTTTTCTTTCTCCCCCCTCCCCCTTCTCCCTTTTCTTTCTTCCCCCCTCCCCCTTCTCCCTTTTCTTTCTCCCCCCCTCCCCCTTCTCCCTTTTCTTTCCCCCCCTCCCCCTTCTCCCTTTTCTTTCTCCCCCCTCCCCCTTCTCTCTTTTCTTTCTCCCCCCTCCCCCTCCTCTCTTTTCTTTCTCCCCCCTCCCCTTCCTCTCTTTTCTTTCTCCCCCCTCCCCTTCCTCTCTTTTCTTTCTCCCCCCTCCCCTTCCTCTCTTTTCTTTCTCCCCCCTCTCCCTCCTCCCTTTTCTTTCTTCCCCCCTCCCCCTTCTCCCTTTTCTTTCTTCCCCCTCCCCCTTCTCTCTTTTCTTTCTCCCCCCTCCCCCTTCTCTCTTTTCTTTCTCCCCCCTCCCCCTCTCTTCTTTTCTTTCTCCCCCCTCCCCCTCTCTTCTTTTCTTTCTCCCCCCTCCCCCTCTCTTCTTTTCTTTCTCCCCCCTCCCCCTCTCTTCTTTTCTTTCTCCCCCCTCCCCCTCTCTTCTTTTCTTTCTCCCCCCTCCCCCTCTCTTCTTTTCTTTCTCCCCCCCCTCCCCCTCTCTTCTTTTCTTTCTCCCCCCTCCCCCTCCCCCTTCACCCCTTTTCTTTCTCACCCCTTTTCTTTCTCCCCCCTCCCCCTCCCCCTTCACCCCTTTTCTTTCTCACCCCTTTTCTTTCTCCCCCCTCCCCCTTCACCCCTTTTCTTTCTCCCCCCTCCCCCTTCTCCCTTTTCTTTCTTCCCCCCTCCCCCTTCTCCCTTTTCTTTCTCCCCCCTCCCCCTTCTCCCTTTTCTTTCTCCCCCCTCCCTTTTTTCCCCTTTTCTTTCTCCCCCCTCCCCTTTCTCCCTTTTCTCTCCCCCTACCCTCCCCCTTTCTCCCTTCTCTCTCCCCCCTACCCTCCCCCTTTTCCCTTCTCTCTCCCCCCCCTACCCTCCCCCTTTTCCCTTCTCTCTCCCCCCTACCCTCCCCCTTTTCCCTTCTCTCTCCCCCCTACCCTCCCCCTTTTCCCTTCTCTCTCCCCCTACCCTCCCCCTTTTCCCTTCTCTCTCCCCCTACCCTCCCCCATTCTATTTTCCGTCCTTCTCTATCACCCTTTCTCTACTGCACCAAGCTTTTCTTTTCTTTCATTCAATGATCGTGTGGCTAGGTAAAAGAATGTACTGCATTTAACCCCCTTAAAATCTCATTAGTTATGATGTTGGCTATTTGTTGAATATGTTCACATTCCTTAGTTTCTGTAAAATTATCAGAAACTAATTGGGATTTTTTCTGGCAACTATTTTGTTAACAAGACTTGCATTGTATCCACAAAAGTATCTAGTACTATTCAGCTAGTTCCTTTCAGCCACACCCATGATTTCATCCCTGCCGCTTCACTTCCCAAGGAAGCCCTCCTCTGCCTGTGCCAATGATGGGTTTGTTTTCCCACGTCTTTCTTGTGAATGAAACTGAGGTAGTAATTTTGGTGCTGGTATATCATTCTACTTGTACTGTTTATACATCTAATTCGTAAATAGTATGGTTTATTGTATGTGACAGCAATTCTGTTGATTTTATTTACAAATAGTAACCTTTTCTCCAGAAATAGTGGTGGTTGCATTTGGGGGGGGTAGAAATATTGGCGGTTGCATTTGGGGGGGGTAGAAATATTGGTGGTTGCATTTGGGGGGGGTAGAAATATTGGTGGTTGCATTTGGGGGGGGTAGAAATATTGGTGGTTGCATTTGGGGGGGGTAGAAATATTGGTGGTTGCATTTGGGGGGGGTAGAAATATTGGTGGTTGCATTTGGGGGGGGTAGAAATATTGGTGGTTGCATTTGGGGGGGGTAGAAATATTGGTGGTTGCATTTGGGGGGGGTAGAAATATTGGTGGTTGCATTTGGGGGGGTAGAAATATTGGTGGTTGCATTTGGGGGGGGTAGAAATATTGGTGGTTGCATTTGGGGGGGTAGAAATATTGGTGGTTGCATTTGGGGGGGGTAGAAATATTGGCGGTTGCATTGGGGGGGGTAGAAATATTGGTGGTTGCATTTGGGGGGGGTAGAAATATTGGCGGTTGCATCGGGGGGGGGTAGAAATATTGGTGGTTGCATTTGGGGGGGGTAGAAATATTGGTGGTTGCATTTGGGGGGGGTAGAAATATTGGTGGTTGCATTTGGGGGGGGTAGAAATATTGGTGGTTGCATTTGGGGGGGGTAGAAATATTGGTGGTTGCATTTGGGGGGGGTAGAAATATTGGTGGTTGCATTTGGGGGGGGTAGAAATATTGGTGGTTGCATTTGGGGGGGGTAGAAATATTGGTGGTTGCATTTGGGGGGGGTAGAAATATTGGTGGTTGCATTGGGGGGGTAGAAATATTGGGGTTGCATTGGGGGGGGTAGAAATATTGGTGGTTGCATTTGGGGGGGGTAGAAATATTGGCGGTTGCATCGGGGGGGGGTAGAAATATTGGCGGTTGCATTGGGGGGGGTAGAAATATTGGTGGTTGCATTTGGGGGGGGTAGAAATATTGGTGGTTGCATTTGGGGGGGGTAGAAATATTGGCGGTTGCATTGGGGGGGGGTAGAAATATTGGCGGTTGCATTGGGGGGGGGTAGAAATATTGGCGGTTGCATTGGGGGGGGGGTAGAAATATTGGCGGTTGCATTGGGGGGGGGGGTAGAAATATTGGCGGTTGCATTGGGGGGGGTAGAAATATTGGCGGTTGCATTGGGGGGGGGTAGAAATATTGGCGGTTGCATCGGGGGGGGGTAGAAATATTGGCGGTTGCATTGGGGGGGGTAGAAATATTGGCGGTTGCATTGGGGGGGGTAGAAATATTGGCGGTTGCATCGGGGGGGGGGTAGAAATATTGGCGGTTGCATTGGGGGGGGTAGAAATATTGGCGGTTGCATTGGGGGGGGTAGAAATATTGGCGGTTGCATTGGGGGGTAGAAATATTGGCGGTTGCATTGGGGGGGGTAGAAATATTGGCGGTTGCATTGGGGGGGGGTAGAAATATTGGCGGGGGGGTAGAAATATTGGCGGTTGCATTGGGGGGGGGGTAGAAATATTGGCGGTTGCATTGGGGGGGGTAGAAATATTGGCGGTTGCATTGGGGGGGGGTAGAAATATTGGCGGTTGCATTGGGGGGGGGTAGAAATATTGGCGGTTGCATTGGGGGGGGGTAGAAATATTGGCGGTTGCATTGGGGGGGGTAGAAATATTGGCGGTTGCATTGGGGGGGGTAGAAATATTGGCGGTTGCATCGGGGGGGGGGTAGAAATATTGGCGGTTGCATTGGGGGGGGTAGAAATATTGGCGGTTGCATTGGGGGGGGTAGAAATATTGGCGGTTGCATTGGGGTGGGGTAGAAATATTGGCAGTTGCATTGGGGTGGGGTAGAAATATTGGCGGTTGCATCGGGGGGGGGTAGAAATATTGGCGGTTGCATCGGGGGGGGGGTAGAAATATTGGCGGTTGCATTGGGGGGGGTAGAAATATTGGCGGTTGCATTGGGGGGGGTAGAAATATTGGCGGTTGCATTGGGGTGGGGTAGAAATATTGGCAGTTGCATTGGGGTGGGGTAGAAATATTGGCGGTTGCATTGGGGTGGGGTAGAAATATTGGCGGTTGCATTGGGGGGGTAGAAATATTGGCGGTTGCATTGGGGGGGGTAGAAATATTGGCGGTTGCATTGGGGGGGGGTAGAAATATTGGCGGTTGCATGGGGGGGGGTAGAAATATTGGCGGTTGCATTGGGGGGGGTAGAAATATTGGCGGTTGCATTGGGGGGGGTAGAAATATTGGCGGTTGCATTGGGGGGGGGGTAGAAATATTGGCGGTTGCATTGGGGGGGGGTAGAAATATTGGCGGTTGCATTGGGGGGGGGGTAGAAATATTGGCGGTTGCATTGGGGGGGGGGGTAGAAATATTGGCGGTTGCATTGGGGGGGGGGGTAGAAATATTGGCGGTTGCATTGGGGGGGGGGGTAGAAATATTGGCGGGGGGGTGTAGAAATATTGGCGGTTGCATTGGGGGGGGTAGAAATATTGGCGGTTGCATTGGGGTGGGGTAGAAATATTGGCGGTTGCATTGGGGTGGGGTAGAAATATTGGCGGTTGCATTGGGGTGGGGTAGAAATATTGGCGGTTGCATTGGGGTGGGGTAGAAATATTGGCGGTTGCATTGGGGTGGGGTAGAAATATTGGCGGTTGCATTGGGGTGGGGTAGAAATATTGGCGGTTGCATGGGGGGGGGGAGAAATATTGGCGGTTGCATGGGGGGGGGGAGAAATATTGGCGGTTGCATGGGGGGGGGGAGAAATATTGGCGGTTGCATGGGGGGGGGGGAGAAATATTGGAGGTTGCATGGGGGGGGGGGAGAAATATTGGAGGTTGCATGGGGGGGGAGAAATATTGGAGGTTGCATGGGGGGGGGGGAGAAATATTGGAGGTTTCATTGGTGAGGGGGTGAAGGCTCCACCGGTTGTTGGTGATGGAGTAAAAACATATTATTGTTTTTTATTTCTCAAATGTCTTGTCAATATGATGTATGAGGAAATTTCATTATGTTAATTTTATTAATAAAAGTAAGAAAAGAAATTCACACGCGCTTCTCTTCATTTCAGGAACAACTTTTCCCAAGACTGGCCAGACTGTTGTAGTTCACTATACAGGTTAGTAAAGCATGTTTTTGTATATTTTAATTGACTGAAGTTGTTTCTTACCAAAAAGTTATTAGCATGTTTACTTTCCATAAACTTGCACTAATTATATTACTGCAAATGATAATTTGCAATAAAACCAAGCAGTCAGAATATTCTTTTAACTTATTTGCCCCGGATTTGTTCTGTCCCCTGTAGTTTTTGGTGAATTTTGTTACATACAGATGGCTCCACATGTGCTCAGCCGACAAGGAGTCTATCAGTAGGCCCTAGTTACCAATCCTAATTTTCACATTCCTTGAATTGGCGGAAAAATTATTGTTATTGGTGTTATGATTATTAAATTGTCATTAAAATATTTTAGACAATGAAATGATACAAAAGACCCCTTCCTAAAAAAGGGTAAACAGGTGAGATAGGTAGAACTAATAACTGACTCCTTGGTGATTAAGCACTTTTAGAGCCATCTATGTGTTAATACAATAAACAAACATGTATTACAGTGGGCATGGCAAGTATTCTTGGGGTAAATGGGTTAATACAAATCCTTTTAATTTCACCTGAACATTTAGTAATTTAGCACAAGCCAACAAAGAAAAGTTTGAGGCTGAAAAGATTTTGTATATATATATATATTTTTTATTTTTTGTGCTGAAAGAGATTTATATACATGTATACATATATACATGTATACATGTATACATGTATACATGTATACATGTATACATGTATACATGTATACATACATGTATGTATACATACATGTATGTATACATACATGTATTATACATGTATACATGTATACATGTATACATGTATGTATACATGTATACATGTATACATACATGTATGTATACATACATGTATGTATACATACATGTATGTATACATACATGTATGTATACATATATATTTATTTATTTATTTATTTATTTATTTATTTATTTATTTATCTATTTATCTATTTATTTTTTTATTTTTTTGTGCTGAAAGAGATTGTATATATTTTTTTGTGCTGAAAGAGATTGTATATATTTTTTTGTGCTGAAAGAGATTGTATATATTTTTTTGTGCTGGAAGAGATTGTATATATTTTTTTGTGCTGGAAGAGATTGTATATATTTTTTGTGCTGGAAGAGATTGTATATATTTTTTGTGCTGAAAGAGATTGTATATATTTTTTGTGCTGAAAGAGATTGTATATATTTTTTGTGCTGAAAGAGATTGTTTATATTTTTTGTGCTGAAAGAGATTGTTTATATTTTTTGTGCTGAAAGAGATTGTTTATATTTTTTGTGCTGAAAGAGATTGTTTATATTTTTTGTGCTGAAAGAGATTGTTTATATTTTTTGTGCTGAAAGAGATTGTTTATATTTTTTGTGCTGAAAGAGATTGTTTATATTTTTTGTGCTGAAAGAGATTGTTTATATTTTTTGTGCTGAAAGAGATTGTTTATATTTTTTGTGCTGAAAGAGATTGTTTATATTTTTTGTGCTGAAAGAGATTGTTTATATTTTTTGTGCTGAAAGAGATTGTTTATATTTTTTGTGCTGAAAGAGATTGTTTATATTTTTTGTGCTGAAAGAGATTGTTTATATTTTTTGTGCTGAAAGAGATTGTTTATATTTTTTGTGCTGAAAGAGATTGTTTATATTTTTTGTGCTGAAAGAGATTGTTTATATTTTTTGTGCTGAAAGAGATTGTTTATATTTTTTGTGCTGAAAGAGATTGTTTATATTTTTTGTGCTGAAAGAGATTGTTTATATTTTTTTGTGCTGAAAGAGATTGTTTATATTTTTTGTGCTGAAAGAGATTGTTTATATTTTTTGTGCTGAAAGAGATTGTTTATATTTTTTGTGCTGAAAGAGATTGTTTATATTTTTTGTGCTGAAAGAGATTGTTTATATTTTTGTGCTGAAGAGATTGTTTATATTTTTATTTTTTGTGCTGAAAGAGATTGTGTATATTTTTTGTGCTGAAAGAGATTGTGTATATTTTTTGTGCTGAAAGAGATTGTGTATATTTTTTGTGCTGAAAGAGATTGTGTATATTTTTTGTGCTGAAAGAGATTGTGTATATTTTTTGTGCTGAAAGAGATTGTGTATATTTTTTGTGCTGAAAGAGATTGTGTATATTTTTTGTGCTGAAAGAGATTGTGTATATTTTTTGTGCTGAAAGAGATTGTGTATATTTTTTGTGCTGAAAGAGATTGTGTATATTTTTTGTGCTGAAAGAGATTGTGTATATTTTTTGTGCTGAAAGAGATTGTGTATATTTTTTGTGCTGAAAGAGATTGTGTATATTTTTTGTGCTGAAAGAGATTGTGTATATTTTTTGTGCTGAAAGAGATTGTGTATATTTTTTGTGCTGAAAGAGATTGTGTATATTTTTTGTGCTGAAAGAGATTGTGTAAGATTGTTATATTTTTTGTGCTGAAAGAGATTGTTTATATTTTTTGTGCTGAAAGAGATTGTTTATATTTTTTGTGCTGAAAGAGATTGTTTATATTTTTTGTGCTGAAAGAGATTGTTTATATTTTTTGTGCTGAAAGAGATTGTTTATATTTTTTGTGCTGAAAGAGATTGTTTATATTTTTTGTGCTGAAAGAGATTGTTTATATTTTTTGTGCTGAAAGAGATTTATGATTTTCAGACAGTCAATCATTTCATGTACTCTTTTCCAGGAACTCTTACCGATGGCTCCAAATTTGATTCCTCCCGTGACCGTGGGAAGCCCTTCAGGTTCCGCATAGGGCATGGGGAGGTGATCCGTGGTTGGGATGAAGGAGTGGCCCAGGTATTACAGTTGATTGGTCACTAGAATGCCAAGCTTTGAAATGTTTGATTAGAGTTCCAGAAAAATCTCAGGTGAAATGTAATTTATCTCAATCTAATGACGAGTTGATTCAGAAAATTATACAATTACCTAGTCTGTAGTTGATCTCATTATAGATAATTAGAAGGGAAGTTCTGGCTCTGATTTAAAGTTGAGGATCACAGAACATTTTTTATGTAAATTTTTATTTTTCAGATGTCTGTTGGACAAAAAGCCAAGTTGACTTGCACCCCTGACTATGCCTATGGTGAACGAGGATTCCCAGGTGTGATCCCACCCAACTCTGTTCTGATCTTCGATGTGGAGCTCATCAATGTGGAAGCATAAGCCAAGTGCTAATATTTGTTGCTGCCATAAGGGATACGGGAGGCTAGTTTAGGAATTCTAAAATGTACCCAAGGGTAATCCCCTCCCCTCTTCATATGATATTTGTTGCTTTGTTGAACTTAAAATTTCAGGATGTTTACTGTGATTTAGGCTTTTATGTACTACCTTGAAATTTAGAGAAATAAATGAATATCATAGGCAAAATCTGTTGAAAAGAAGTTTTTCTTGGCACATTGGAAATTGGTAGCAACAGACACACACACATACAAAGGAAAGCCTTCAGTTGCTCAGGAACTAATGTCATGAAGGAGCCCTCCCCTCCCTCGGGTCATGCACGAGTCCTGCTACCACTCCTAGCAAACACTTGAGCACCATGAACTTCCATCTGTTGGCAAACAGGATGTTACAAAGAGCATTGGCACACGGATGCATCCTTCTTCAGAGTTTGATTTCTCATTTGTGTTTTGCATGATTTCACTGTCTTATGTCCCAAAATGACAAACTGCCTCTGCCCTCAGTGATACTTTAGACAGTACTTGGAATATCTTTGGAATATGATACTTGAAATATACAGTATATAATATGGCAACACAAGCCTGAGAGAAATGCATACCAAATAACATGTATACCGAAGTGAGTTTACTTAGCTGAATTTGACTTGTTTTAAAGTCAGGCAATTAAGTTTGCAAAGGTATGGCTTACAGCATTTAATAAAACCTAATGAATACCAGCAAAATAGTATTCCTGAGAACTTTTGAAGAGGATTACATAGCATCTAGAGTATGCTGGAGCTTGTGGATGCTGGAGCATGTAGTTTACAGGTAGCAGCTACCAACTGTCCTCTCCTTGAGATTAGGATAGTCCCTTCACTTTTATCACATTCTCTAAAGCTGTAGATCTGATGAAGTCAGAAGTCCAGTATTATCAGTGTCACAGTCCTGCAGTTTGGACTTTGGTGCAAAGGTTAAAGCCAACATTCCCATTTTTGTTTTCTAAACTAGGATAAAGCTAACATTCTGGCTAAGCCTATGCTTTTTAGTGTATGTACAAGTTATTCTGGCCATCATGCAAGTACTATCCATTAGTATGTTTCTGTGAGAATATATTGCTTTGGTATGCATGATTATGCTGTCCTTACAATGTATCCATGGTTCTTTATACTTTTGGTGGCATGTCTTCACAGTTAAATACATGGTTGAATGTAACCTTAGTCTTCATTCTAAGATACTGTCAACTTTGGTTGCAGTAACTTTGTGATGACATTTGGACTCAAATGTACTAATTAGAATCACCACGAATGATAATATTGGCTTTAGGTCTGGCATTTTCAGTGGAAATCATTTTTGGTTGACCATAGAAACTTTTTTGTCAGAATTGTGTACTGTATTCTTACTGTGATGTCTTCACATTGACTTGGTGTTCAGAATGAGCAGAAGGTGGAATATCCTCATGGTGTGCAGCCTGTACCTACAGATGGCGATATTCATGATCCACAGTCCATCTTTTATATTTAGTACTTTGTACCTTTTTTATTTTCTTTTGTAACTTCTCAGTACAAGGTTCTTCTGGTCAAATAAAAATCTGTGAAAATGTTGTATGTAATTTCTCCCAAGTAACATTAAAACAGTTTAATATGAACTTTTGTATTCAGTCTTGGTTCATTACATTGCATGTGCTTAAATCCATTTTAAATTACTGCCTATATTGCAGATTTTTTCTTAGGTATAGTGATAATTGATATAGTATTCCCTTTTGCCTAGTTTGAAGGCAGGTTAGAGTAATAGGACAAATATCAGTTTGCACAGTATTTCCTTTTTATGGTGAAGTGTGTATGAGAATAGATATTGGTGCATAAACCTATCTATCTGCAGGAGCTCCAAGGGTTGCAAACCTTCTTGTTTAAACTTTTTAAGACTGAGATCCCAAGAAAAGATTGTTTGCCATTAGAGTAAATAAAATTTTATAAAAATACAATTTTGTAATTATACAATTGCAATTTTGGATTGGAAAGATTGAAAAGTAAATTTGAGCAGCTAAAGGGTAGGGACCAATGGTGTAGCCCCAACAGAGAACCTTCATGAAATGTTTGTCTGGTAAATGTAAAGCAAAATGGGAAAATTTTGCCTTATGATTAATTCTTTAACCCAATGCCGCCAGGGAAAATTAATAAAAAATGGGGAAAATGCTGTGCTCATTTTTGTGAAATGTGTCTGCACATAGATGGCTCTGCTAGTGCTTAACCACAAAAGAGTCAATTAGTAGAAACTGTGACCTTACATGATTTGAATTGCAGGAAAAAACATATTTTGCTGTTAATAACGTTTATAACATTATAGTAATTAACCCATTCGTGCTGGGTAAAAATGAAAAAAAATTGGGGAAATGCTGTGCTCATTTTTTATATTTTTTAATGAAATGTCTCTACACTAGATGGCTCTGCCTTACCTGATTTCACCTTTACTTGATTGGCCTATTTTTACTAGTGCTATGAGTATTGATGATGGTTATTTTTGTTATAAACATTAGTAACAGCAAAATTAGATAACGTAAGATGTTTTCGTAAATAAATGAAAAGGGTAAACAGGCGAGACAAGCAGTACTCACAACAAGTGTAGCCATCTATGTGTGAAAACAATTAAACAAGTAAACTCACAGTGGGCACGTGATGTATACGTGACGCCCGGTGTGAATGGGTTAAAACGTACAAAATATAATAAGATAACGTAAAATATTTTCGTAAATCAAAAAAAGGGTTAATTGGCAAGACAGGCAGTACTTGTAACTGGCTCATTGGTGACTTAGTACAAGTGTAGCCATCTATGTGCAAAAACAATCAAACAAGTACACACAATGGGCATAGCACGTACGTACACGTCATGCCTGTCGGCATTGGGTTAAGTGATGGATGATCTTGGTGTTCAAACCAATTGGTATCTATTGCCATTTCTAACACAAGTACTTTGATATGCTTAACTAATTTTAGTCCTTTGCGTTTGCATTGTGTGCACTCCCCAGATGTAAAATTGCTAGAGTTTGAAGTTATAAACTCATACTCAGATGGGAACTGAAGAAAATTTATATAATTTGAGCCATAAAGACGAGCCCCCCCAATACTCGTTGTTGTGGGGGTGGCTTAAGAGATGGGAATGAGGTCTGATGTGGGGGATCATCCCTACCTTGGCCCTCAGCCTTTGCCTCGACTAATTTTGCATGGTCTTTTCTCCTTTTCTTCATCCCTATGATCTGTCCACTTATCCTAGTCATTCATAAATTTCTGCTGTTTTTGCCACAATACAATACTCTTCCCCTCTCTACCCATTTCACTACCATACTACCCTCTGGTACTGTTTAACTGTAACTTTCCCTAGTTATTAACCCATTCACGCCGGGTGTCACGTATACTTTCCCATAGCACCATATGACCTTTGATGTCATATAGCACTTCCTTACCTGGGGATTTGACCCCAAGCCTCATGCTACCATTATATTTTGAATACACCACTAATTACCTTAGATGTTGATGTGGCAGAAAGTTTTTGATAAATAAATATACATCTTGAATATTACCATTTGCAAGATAAATATGGATAACTGCTATCAAACATGGAAGGTCATAAAAACTTTTAAATCAAGGAATTTGATTAGGGTTTACAAACTTTTGTGAATGTATTAATACCAATCTCTTGCTTATTATCATGGAAGGCTTAGGAGATGGAGACTGAGGTCTAATGTAGGGGATCATCCCTACCTTAGACCTCAGCTCTCTTCTCCCCCTTTCCTTTTCCTTCTCTTCTTCAT